TATATATATATATATATAGAAAATTTTGCATATAATTATATGCACAGTTCCTAATTTATATAGTAAAGAATTGAACTCTAGAAACACTTCAGACTATATATAAAAATAGTATGCAGGGTAAAATAGCTATAATACCTTATAGTTACATATTCTTTGTTTTGTTGCTTAATTGCGAGTAAACTTTTTCTCATAAAAAGTTTGATATAACTCAATAGATCGCAATGAATTGATGCTACTGCTAACTATACCTCTTCACCCTCGATTGGCGATGGTGGGTTTCCATTGCAGAGTGCCACGAGTCGTTGTATAGGCGCGTAGATAGATGCATGATGTAAGAGAGGATATTTTGATCTACCCAATAGTTTCCTCAGGAAGGTGAGACAAACCGTTCGCATACCAGGCGGCGTTTCCGCGCTAGCCAAGGTGGCTAGAAGATCCAAAAGTTTGTGCTGTAAAAGATATTCCAAGCAAGGTCCCGGTTCATTCACTTCTTTCTCTTCTTGTAATAAGATTTCTAGCAATACATCCAAATGTCGAGGTATATTGGTGTTCTGTACTGGAACCTTGCAATCGGTCAAGTGGCTCACATAAAAATTCATCAATTGCTTCCAGTGATAAGTAAAATCTTGCAATGGCGTTGCCGGTGGGGCTATCTGGAAATATAGTAGTGTAAATATTGAATTGAGAAATCAAAGTAGAGTAATTTGCTCTTAAGACTGATTTAATTAGATAATAAATTAACATATTAAAAATTTAAAAATAAAAAATTCAGAAGATAGTTTTAAAATTCACATTTATGTTTAGAGCACAATCTTCGATTACATATCAATAACTGCAATTATAATCTGGAATTATTGATATTTCCATATCAAACAAATATATATAATATCATTTAAAAAAGTTATAAAATTATAAATAATGAATAAGAAATTAATTTGTGTTATTCACATCAAATCAATATGATTTAAATAATTTTTCTTTTTTTATTGTATTTTTGGTAAATATATTGAGAATAATCCATTCTAATTTTACTTACACGGATTTAATAAATAATAAATAATAAACGTATGGAAATATCAATTTTTATTCAAATTTTGTAATTTTGTACTTTTTCATTTTGCGTATGCTCTTATTGCCAGAGTTTCGTCGGTATGACAGATTTTCTAACCTTCAAAAGTGGCATGTTTAACGTTTAATAATTCTCTTTATACTATCGAGTGACGATTTTTATATTTCAAACCTTTGTTTTTATGCAAAAAGACATCGATTAATGTATTTTTATCAAAATCTAAGTATATTGTTTTATATTTATATTATTTTTATATGACACAATTACAGGACATTGAAAGAATCTGGAAAAAATGTCATCCAATACTCTGAATAATATTTTATCTGAAAAATTCCTAGAGCATGAAAAAACTGTTTCCAACTGTTAAAAAATATTACTGGAATAATAATTCCTGTGTAGAAGAGAAAATTCTATTTTAAAGAAGATAACATTTATTTAGATGAATGAGAGAGTTATATAGAAACTCAAATAAATTTTGTATACATGTTTAACTATTAGATCACATATGTCATTCTGTTTATTGATAAACACTCTTTTCTGTCAATTATCGTATTCAAGTAATTTTCTGCATGCAAAATTGCAAAGTTTATTCGAGCGAAATCTCTCTTCAGAGTCATTATTCTGTGATCAACGCATTATTAGATTTTTTTCCTGTCGGATTTCTGTGAAATCGAAATTAGAATAGCACTAAATTTGTTATCTCGAAACACAAGGACGAACGTAATTACGCGATAGCAAATTCTCGTCGCCCTTGCCATCGTAACTCGTAACCAACAACCAACTAAATGTCTACTCACCACGTCAATGGCATTTTTCAGGGCGCTCTGAATGCCGCTGATCATGTTAACTCATTCACAGAATACACTCGTGCACACCTTTTGCTTTCATTCGCGGATTCGAAAGCCGTTCTCGCGAAGTGTCGTTCCGATGCGCTTCATCGCGTGATGAAGAATAAATTTTCCGATAGCGGCGACAGACCGCAACTTTGACGTTTGACGTGTCCCGTAATGTTAAACGATCGAAGGTGCACCAGGTGGCGACTCTGAACTCACGTGCGTATGCAGGAATTATACCCGGTGTCGTAAATAAATTCAGAGAACACGATCCGGTTATGCAATCGGATGTATTAATGGTATGTTCGGTGCGCTTACATTCAACGCAAATTTTTCTGTTATATTTAAGAAATTAATAATTTTTTCGTTCATACATAATTCATTCTATCATTCAATTGCTTCGTTAAAGTGTCCTTGTGAATGTGAACGCACCACACAATATTATAAATTACCCGGCAACAGCTGAGTAAATATCTTCACGCGAACGCGCGCGTTTTAAGAAAATTTGTAATACAAATAATAACTGCAACATTAAAAATTTCAAGAGGATTTCAAAAGAATAGTCGATCAAATTATCTAGCTTATTGTTAGTTTAAATAGAACAATGAGTAAAAATCACTAAAAACATCAAATTGTAGAAAATGTTTGGTAAAAAGATTTTGACACTCAAAACCTTTAAGTAAACTAAAGAAGAAACAATATATGGATTTATTGCAGCATATTAAATAACTTTTATATCAACGATATTTATAGGTATTAGTTTCTCCGGAAATATTATTGAATTATTCAATATTTATTTTTTGTATAAAAGCCATAAGAAAACAAAAATTTAAATGCATTTCATATGCAATAACTCAATAGCTTATGATGATGAAAATAAATTGTTTCTTTATATATATATATGATTGTTTATTCTCAGCATCAACGTGTACATGATAACAACATTAATAACGTGCTATTTGTAAAAAAGTCACGAATTCGGAAACGATGTCGATAATTTATACGCATTTTTGCAATCAACTTCGCAAGTTTTGTTTCTAACTTTCTCTCTCGATCATTATCTCTCTCTTTCTCTCTCTTGCACTTTTTCGTTTCCATGAATAATTTCTGTGACGTGTATACAACAGTAAGGAAATATTTTTTTAAATTATCGTTGCTCGATTTTACATTTCATATTTTACATCTTTTAATTTAATACATATACAGCACGCAGTTACGTTATTTTCAATACTCAATTTATCGTAAAATTTATTGATTTATTTTACTTTTTTCTGATATTTTTCAAATGTCTTCTAAAAATCTTTTTTTCCTCGATGTAAACTCACAGATAATGAGTGTTGCTAATCTTTGCTAGTAGTAGTATTATTTAAGAATCAGATTGATTTTTTTTTATGTGTGTGATTGATGTGTGTCACGCTTTAACTTATATCATACTTCATTAACTTTCGATTTTACTCTAAATTTCGTAAATACTCACCAATTTAAGTGCTTGTATTCGTCGTAACATAGCAACAAAGAAATTTGTGTAACTTGCAAGAGAAAATCAAAATTTTCAAATTTTAAGATTCTGAAATATACGCGCTATATACCTAGTTGAAAACGGATATTTTAACACTCCAATGGAGTTCGCGGAACTTCAAGATTTATCATTGGTCTCATTAAACTTTATCGTAATAATGATAAGAAGGTACCCTGAATTAACAACGAACAAGATTCTTCTTTATCTTACACGTAATCGTACAAATTATTTGATAATGAATGAATAACAGAATGACTTTCTACATACATCATGTATAATAAAAAAATTCAATGCTTAAAATTTTAGTTTTGTAAACAAATGATAATTTTATACTTTTGAAAATATTGTTTTTAATATATAAAATGTTGTTTTTTTTTATAGTTACGCTTTAAATTAAGATTCTATTAAAGTATGTATAATTTTGTTCCAAAATATATATACATATTTAATAATTCTATTACAAATTTTTTTTTTTTAGATATTCAATTTCGAAATGAATTAAAGAATTTAATTTTGATTTTTCTTTTGTGTGTGTTTGTTTTTTGCTGTGGCGCTTAATTCTCGGTATTTTATTAACCGTTAATTATCCGAAAACTACAACAAAGGTGTTTCTGTGCTTGTATTAAGAAAAAAACGCCTGAAAAATCTGTGTAATGAAAAAAACATTTGTTTTGGGATACTCTGTATAGTGAAATGAAAGGATCAACTGAAGCAATACTCAATTAAATATCGATGGAGAACTGTGTTTATTCTCGATTCTATCAATTCCTTGTCGATTTTCACAATCGATATGATGTCACGTGATCAATTTAATATATTATAGATTAAATTCGTTTGCACTTGTTGATATTTGTTAACAACGGTTACTCGACATTCTTCTTGCCAGTTAAATTTATCTGACAATTTTTCGATTTGTTCACACATCTAATTTTTTCTCACTAATTTCTCATCGAAGAGTTACGAGATGATTAACCAATTACGGTAACAACTGGACATGCGAATTATTAACAAATCACGCTAATTAGCGAATATTGTACTTGACTGCCGCAGAATGGATATCTATATCCTCGATTTTTCCTGGTTTCTTGTGAAAGAACATTAAATATTCTTTTACTCTAATACGCTAAGTTGTATTTTTTGTGCTCTATGTACAAGAATTATTCGTCGCGCAATTTTTCTGTTCATTCCTCCTAAAACTGCATTTTCTTGCATTTTCTACACTCAAAATAGGGCAGATGTATATATAAGTGATCTATATATAAGTATTACTTTAAAATCTTTTTTTATCGAAAAAGGGCCCATAGTGTAATTATGCTCATAGACATTTTACGCGCAAACCCTTTTTTCGGACTAGTAAATTATTCAGACTTTGGAGAAGCCTTAGAATAATGACCTAAAATGATTTTAAATAAATTTAAAGGAAGAAGGACACAGTGTAGAAAATGCAACTGAAACGTAGAGAAAAGTCATAATTTCTCTTGAACGCTCTCGTTCATATTCACTCGCTCATCATTCATTCAGATCAACTCTCTCGTACCGCTGTCTGTGTCGGTTTTATATTACACATAATTGAATTCTATCTCGCTACCGACAACTGCGTCTTCACCGTTTCTGTGATGCAACTGCGGCGACCAAAGCTGCACCACGGCCGCTACCGTCTTCCGAGAGCATTAGATCAAACTACAACAAAAAAGAAATTTTCATTGGAAATGAAATTTATCTATATATAAATATATAAATATATTTATGAAATTATCTTGTTCATTATAATAGAGCATTTTATTATCTCGTTAAAGAATTTGATGCCATGCACAAATGCAACATATTGTTTTCATTGTACATTCATTGTACATTCTTGTAACTGGCTTTGCGACATCGTTATCAACGAAAGACGCATATCTCGTCTCTCGTCATATTTATGACGAGGTCATAAATTTATAATCGTCTCGTCGTTATCCTCACCTTGTAAGACTGGAGTTCGTTGATTTTCGCCGTCATGAGATCGTGGAAATACGGGTGGAATCGATACACCGAGCCATCGATGCCCACAGTAACATTATCCTCGCCCATTTTATTCAGCAACGTTGCTATCCCCGCGCTCACCAGATGCGCCGCTCTCCTCGATACAACCGAACAAACATATCTTACATTCTCGCAATCCTGATCGCTCACATTTCGCAGTCCCAGCTCGGCCAATATCTCCCGACAGTTCGTGTATCTTCCCTTAGGATCGCTAAAAAACTCACAAATATTATATTTTCTTCGAATTTTTTTATATATTAATCCTCAATTAATCACGCGCGGTGACTTATTTCAGCCGATATCGCTATAGATTTAATCGCCAACAATAGCGAGTCCGTGCGATTAATCATGCTATGGATCGAACGCGATTGATTAAAATAATCTTAACGATTATATTCAAATCCGATTAGTACTTACTTTTCAATCTCAGAGACGTATTTAGTGAAAAACTTGCCGCGCTTTTTGAGATCACTTGGGAATTTGCCACCGAAGAGAAGACCGGCGCTTACCAACTTTTCGAGAACTAGTCTCGTTAGTTCACCCATGTACATTCCCGAAATCATTTTTTCAAATAGTTGCTTCGTCGGATTAATGGAGGTTTCATCTATAGCGCGGTCAAATTCAGTTAGTATGAAATCCAGCACACCTCTTTCACCAAATGCGCCCCATTCTGTGTTGATGAGCATATGGGGTTTGTTTTCGGAATAATTGCCCGGAATTGCACACTGCACATTCTTCGTTTTTTCGACGTAGCAGGCATTGCTTCCAGTACCTGTAAATGCAGAAAACTTTACTGATGCGCTTAGAATTTACAAACAGAAAGAGAAAAAGTTGGATAAATTTATTTTTTAATTGTTGAACGATCTTCTTCCCATATCTAGTCTGACAATTAGATTTGCAGATAAAATTTATCTAGATTGAAATACGCAATTCATTCGTCTAATTAATTAATATTAGTAACATTACGGTGATAATATATATATTGTACGAAAATTAGATGTTGCATACGTACCGACAATTAAACCGATCCTGCAGTTTTGATTTTTCCAAGCACATGACATTAAGGTACCGGTAGTATCGTTTAGAATTGCGCATACGTCAATGTTAACATCCTACGGGGGGAAAATATTGAATGATAAAATTATATATGATATATTGTATATTAACATATAATAATATGTTAGAGATTATATGTATATATGATTTTCCCATTTTTAATATCTTTGCACATAACATAAAGATTATCCCTAAGCGTAATGTATTTTATAAAGATTAATTAATAAGTAATTATATACTTATAATATAAATGAATTAGGATTAAAATTAATATTCGAATATAAATAGCCTTTTTGTGAAATATTTTGCTTCTCGATTGATTCTTAATCTTCCATAAAAAGAAAACATTAGAATTATATTTAATTAACATCTCAAAGAGAGCAAATATTTTATGAACCAGCAATATAAGTTCGCTCGATGCTTTTGTTTATTTTTTTTTGTCTTATAATAAGTTATAATTTGCTAACTATATCGAAACCCCATGTTTTCTTATGGTACTCCCGCACTTACGCTTCTTTTGCTAATTGCTTCTTCGAGGAGGGCGACAACGTCTTCGCCGATCACACCGCTACAATTGAAACCCTTGGTCCACCTCACCAAGTGACCCTTTGTCAACCCGTACTGGGACAGAGGGAAACTGAAGGTGAAGCCTAATGGCAGTACCTCATTCTGCAGATTCAAATCTTTTACGAATAATGCCAGGCACTGAGCGATGTGATCGAATAGTTGAGTACCGGTTCCCAGCATCAAGCTCTGTGGTATCGCGTAGATCTTGCTTTTCATGTCGAAATTCTGGCCATCCAGCGTGATTAACAACACTCTAAAGTTTGTGCCACCCAGATCCAATGCCAGAAAATTGCCCTTCTCTAAGACAAATAAACGTTTAACGTTAATTTGATGTAAATATCTCAATAACTGCAAATATCTTTAATTGCATTTGCAAAGAAAGATATTAATGATTTATCCGCAATTCTACATGAGATACAATCGCACGCGCATCTGATAAACTTTTACTTTCAATTTCTTCGTAAAAGAAACTTCGAGATATGATGTACGAAAGTTAAATTGTGCGAAGAAATTTTATTCTCTATATTTTCAACTTATTTTTACGTGAAAAATTACTTGCTTTTTAACATGAATTATGCTCTTTGTTTTGTAAGAGTTTAATTTTATTTTGAACTTCTTTTTCTTTTGTGGCTGTAAGAAAATCGGAAAATGTAATGCGACTTGTAATCGTTGGTAGAATGCATTTTTTTTATTTACCGGTGCCGTCTGGTAGATCCTGCACATAAGTGGTGAAGCACTTGACGATTGCATCATCATGAGTCGCTTTCGATAGACCCTTGTTTATTTCGTCAGTGAGATTCTGCATGACGAGGCGAAGCTGATCATTGGACAGGACGAGATCCTTGCAGGCATCCCGTATCTGCGGATAGAGAAACGAATGATGAGACTCGTTATCGATCCGCACGGCAGTGTTATTGGGTGACCTTGAGTCGTCCTTCGATACAACGCGCATCGCGTACGCGGCCGCGAAACGTTGCATAACATTCTTGCTCTTACTGATGCGCATATAACATCGAGAAACTTTTAACGCGAGAGACGATCGATCCTTTCCCTATCGATCCCTGGCATCAAGCGAGAGACTGTTAACTCCATGAGATATTCCGGATTCACCAAAAGATATCGTTTCTAAGATTTCTTGGGTTAATAAATATTTTGAAATCGACTTTACTTTAAAGCTATATTAAACTATACATTGATTCTTTTTAAATGAAACTATTTTAAATTATATATATAATATATTTTTAATTTATTGATAAGAGAACATTTTTATTGCACTTTTATATTTATATATGCTCTTTCTCTTCTTTACTTTTTATTTATTTATTTTTTTATTTATTTATATTTTTCTTTTCTCTACTTCTATTTAATAAAATAGAGAAGAGAAATATTTAATTCATCAAAAGAAATATTTGGAACAATTAGAAGATATTGAAAATATCATATTTCCCGCCAATTTGTTATACTCTTCCTCCCACCGAGAATGAAACATCGATCTGTGACGTCACTGACACACCCGCCCGCTATCCAATAGGATTTATCATGAATGAATAACATAGATGAATGTGCAATACTCACGTAGCTACGATTATAGTGAATACAAGTATGATATGCAAAGAAGCATAGTAGATAATGCACGTGGCATAATATGTATTGGAAATTCGAGTTAAAACTTTTTTTTACACCTGGTTAGCATATTTGCAGTACAGCCTAATATCATAAAATCTAATGAAAGCCAAGTCCATGATAATAATATAGAAATGTATGACACATGTGTTTGATAATTTCTGACGGCAAATTTCATGTAATTTAAGTTGCGTTTTAACAAAAAAATACAGTTTTATCTCTTAATTCTTCGTGGACGATACCTGTTGCGCACACAGGTGATCATTATTATTCGAAAAGTACTATGGAAAATAGACATCACTTTATCAGTCGATGGATATCAGTCAGCGGGTATCATAAATTCTAGGTAAACAAACAGAATTCATAATTAGGGAATTAATATACAGGATGTTTGATATTTTTTTTCGCATAAATAGAAGAGATTTCGTTGCATATTAAATTAGAGCGAAATAATTTTTTTCTAAGAATAGTCTTTTTTTTTTATTATTCAACATTTAATTATTCTTTAATTTCAAATATTTGTTGCAAATATTATCTTTTTAAATATAGAATAGAAGGTAAACATTATTATACGTTATCAATCAATTAAAGAAAAAAAATAAGAATAGTGAAATATAATGGACCATTTTTTCATTGTTTCCGGACAATTATGTGACTGCATACGTATATTAATTACATAATGGCAAATAATCAATATCATATAGATAGAAAGTTGTTTCCGGAAAATATATTTTCTTGTCATGAGTCATTGATATTAATCATTGAAATAATTATCACATATGAGTATATTGTACGAATTCATGAAACGAGATAAAGATTCAACGCGAAATTATGTTCGTTTTTTAAATTAACAGAATGTCTTTTGCCCATTGTATTTCATAGCAGTAAGAGTCATGAAATCACCTGCTTCTGCTTTTTATTACTTGTATATATCACAAGGTAAAAAAGTGCCCGATACGGTTCTCGATGAATACGATCAAATAATTCCGTTATCGCACTATTGACGTCGTCATCGTTGACATTTAGAAGAGACGCGGTTTATATACATTCCTTAAGCGGGATTAATTTCGTTATGTCGTATCTCTGTTTCACATACATGTGATTATAATTATCATAAACTTTTGTTTTTTAAATGTTAATATGGTAGCAATTTTCCAGAATTTTTTTTATCTTCATAGATTTTTAGCGAAAAATAAAGATTACATATTTAGGATTACATTGAACGGTTCGGCTGATGTAATCGTAAGATGATTTTGCATTTTTTATAATTTAAAAAGAAAATATATTTGAGAAGAAATTTAATCATAAAATTCTCCAATATTTTGGGAATAAAATTATCAGAATTTGTGCCAGCGTTTATTGTTCAATTTATTATTATTATTTGTTTTTTTACGGTACATTTTTGTTATCAAATTTTTATTCCTTTTTTACGGTACATTTTTGTTATCAAATTTTTATTCTTCACGTTATTTCTCCTATCTACCTTCGCCCTTTTAATATCTAATTCCTTATTTTATTTCCGATATTGGTTCTAATATTTTAACTTGCATAATTAATATTAAAAAAATTATTACATTTTATATTTTTTCAATTTGTCTTATTATTTTGGAGTTTTTTACTTTTTACCATCAATTTAGTTCTTTTCTTATTTCTAACCTTGTCCCTCGCCTTTCACCTCTTGCATTATACTATCTTAATTTACATACAAATGGCAAGAAATTGATTTTGTCTTTTTATGTAAAAATACCATATCATTTTTTCCGTTTCTTTTTCTCTTACATGTCCCAACCTTCTCTCTAATCTTTTTTTTTTAACCTTCGGGTCAATCTTATCTGTGAAACTTGCTCTTCTGGCATTTTTAATTTTTTTTCTCGATACATTCGAAATATATTATAATTTATTGATTTATTATAATAGTAAATAGATTATATTATTTCCTAAGATTTTCCCGTAATTTATAATGTTATCTCAAATCCTCTACTTAACCTTGTTTCTTTAGAATCGCTAATCTCTAAACAAACGTTATATTTCGCACAATGTTACATACATACACATGCAATTATCTTTTAAAATAGTGATACTTTACACTAAAAAAAAAAAAAAAAAAAAAANNAAAAAAAAAACTTGTTTTAAATCTCTTAAACTTTGCTTCTCTAATTTTCCTCCGAATGCTGTCCACTTTAATATATATAGTGTATATATAAAAAAGAGTATATCTTTAGAAAGAAATCATATTATTTTAACAATATTATATACTTGATTATCAAAAGAAATTTATCTCATAAGAGTATTTCATAAGATAGAAATGTTTAGATGAAATATGAAATTTTATATACAGTTCCATATATCTGTTTTTTTATTTATCTTTAGAATTGTTGTTAATATTTTATAGTTTTATATTTGAGTCAATTAATATCATTAGTCAGAGTGCTGAAGGAATAAACAATAACAATAATTTTTTTCCGGTCTCATATCTCTCTCGAATCTCGCTTCTAACCTTTTAAATTTCCCTTGAAAGTCTTTCAAAATTTAAATATTCATGGAACTTTATATTTAAAACACTTTGCTCTTTTAGCACACCTTTCGATACGTATATGAATACAATTAATTTAAAAAAACAATTATCACGTTTTTCACACAAAATTCATAAAGATTTTCTATCATTTTTTTTTCTTTCTCGTGATAGATAATGATAGTCCTAACGAAACTTGAAATGACAGATGACGTATATGTGTGTATGCAATTGTGTTACCTAATTTAATATAGAAATTATATTATACGCGCACTAACATAATCATAAAAGACATCAAAAATTTCTCTTATTTATTTTCTTAATCGATAAAATTTCCGTTTTTGCTCCTAACTTACCAAACTTCTTTCAAACATTCTTCAATCCAAGTATATATGATGTCACACTACAGACATACACAGACACAAATACACATTTTACCCTCTAAATCTTTTTTAATCTTCCACTTTTCGATCACTTGCTCACCTCCTGCTTGATCAAGTCACTGCACAATAATGTGGATGTCTTCATGGCCCTCCCAACCTCGCACTCGGTAGTGCAGCCCTCGAGCAGCTTCGTGGTTGCTGATTAGAATGATCAGCGGAAAGACGCAAATTAGACCACGTGTCGTGACGTTTTTTTTTTTACGTCGTTGACTTCGTGGACGAGCAGAGCTACTAATTTAGCTCAAATAGGAAGTGAAGTTTTTTCGATTTCTGACAAATGTGCAAGAGTTACTAGCTGTCTCTGTGAACTTTATATCGCGACTGCCTGGAACGACGGCGCCTGTTCCCCACGAGAACAATTCTGGTGGTGGGAATGGAACTTGTACACGGTGGGGCAAAAGGAGGCCATGGAGGAGGCAATGGTATCAGTGACGGACTCGTTTCTTCGACTCGCCCGCGATTTTTCTAAATTGGTGCAAAAAATGGCGCTTTCCTACGAAGATATTTGACAGAATATTCTATTCTATGAAGTCGTTGCTCAGGTCAAATATCGAATTCCGATAGATTCAATTTTACAACTTTAAAGTAAACTCTTTTTTTAATCGATTATCTTCGGATTTTTGTGATGATATTTTGTCCTTTCCGGTTTTCCTCAGATTATCACGTTTTATTTTATATTATTTTGAGAATACACTATATGAAGTAATGTATTATATACATATATATATATGTAAATACTATAACATATGAATATATGTGCAGGTTATTTAATTAATATGATGATTAACGAGATGACTAAAACAAATTTAAACATTTGCAAGTACTTTATTCGTTGATTATTTACTTTTTTTATTATTATTCGAATTTTTTGTCTGTACAAATACATATTTTCGAAATTTACATTTTTATTGCAGAATTATAATATAGGTGAACATTTTATTTATCGAAATTAAAATTAAAATTCGGCAATTTAAATTTAATTTAAATTAGCTTTAATTGATTTAATTAAATAACTTATACACTTTTTTAATATATTTTAAAAATGTATCTTATTAAAGTATTTTTTAAATTA